TGGATCCCCCCCCCCCCCCCCCGCCCCGCCTCCAAAAAAAAAGAAAAAAGCACCATACAGTTCTAATAACGATCATTAATTCTCTCTCTTTCTCTTTATCTGTCTCTCCAAAAACATGTTTTTTCACACACACACACACATACGTGTTTTGAGGTCATTATGTGGACATTGCCCCAAACCTACATTATGTGGACACCCCATATCATCCAAAGTTATCGGTGGAATCAATCAATATTTGCAGTGTAAGTCCACTATACAAAAACATCATTGTCCACCAAATTTCAAGAAGCTACCTAAATTTTTAGTCCAGTATGTTTTTTTACTAACGTTAGTGGGACATTGCATTATGTGGACTTTACGACCTCCTGACCTTTTGCACAAAGGTACGCAGAAAAATTCGCGCCCGCAACCCGCAAGTTGCGCGCGCAACTTTTGCCGTCAGCGCAACTTTTGCGCAACTTTTTACGATTTTCGTGAATTCGCTAATTTTAGCCAATTTCCCGCAAAATTCGGAAAAATAATAAAATTTCATTAAAAAACACCGAAATTTTCTTCCACGACTAAAAATAACGTCGCCAAGGGGGGTGGGGCAATTCGCTTCTCTACACTTTGAACTAGCCTGCGGCGGGTGCCCGCCGCCGCCCAGTGACCCGGGTCAGGTCGGGTCGGGATGATCGCCCGACTCGTCGCCTGAAAACAACGTGTTTGTTTTGAAACAACGAGTCGGGCGCGATCGACTTGTGCCACGATAGCCGCTTTGCACCATCAATCTGTCTAGCAGACCGACCCAATAGTCTTGTTTGGACTAGTCTAGCTAGAGTAAATCAATCGGAAACACGGTCGTCTGATTACTTAGCTTGCTTTGTTCCGTAGCACCAGGGTAAATCTAGTACACATCTATAAACATTTGTGAAAGACTTTAAATCTTAGGCTAAGGAGGGTAGATTAAAATGGATCATCCAGAAAACCCGTAAAGGGAAAATAATATCATCTTAAGCCAGGAAAAAAAAGAGGGGGGGGGGTCTTTGACTCCTGTAAAAGTTAAAGTGTAAGGTGGGGGGGGGGGGGGTTAACCAATGTAAGATTACACTTTTGTAAGGTGAAAAAAATAATCAACGAAAATGGCAACGTAACTGTTTTGTTAAAAGCATAAAAAGAGAGTAACTCTACACTATTCACGTAGACTTAGAGTTCAGTTCGAGCGGAAAGCACAGCATTGTGGCGATACAGTGGACCTCGAGCGGCAAGCACGATATATGTCATCTCGCACTGGTAGATACCTGGGCTACATGACATTGACATGTAGATCTAGTCTTATTTTGATTATACGGGTGCGGTTAAAGTGGTAAAATGACAGAGTAAGTTTTTCTGGAAAAGTTCCGATATTTTTATAACGTATTGAAATACGTGTATTATGTCACATGTATGTGTATGCATGTTTTTCATGAATACCATAATTAATAATTTAAAACTAAAGCACATAGAAGAGTGATTTTACCACGGATTTGCGCCATATAAATGTCATATTATTATAAAGCGAAAAACGTAATATACGGGATTGAGGGGGGGGTGTGTCGCAGGAAAGTGTAAAAAAGTGTAAGTGCGGGAGGAGGGGGGGCAAAAATTCCCAAACAAAGTGTAAGATTTTATTTGAACAGTCCCAAAACAACGCTTGCCACACCTGCCCAACGTCAGCGAGAGTTAAGGACCTGACGCATGTGTCAGGGGCACAGAATTCTACACTTAGTGTAGAATTCTGTGGTCAGGGGACAAACTTTTTTTGTACTACAAGCAATTTTTTTTGGGGGGGTACACATTCACATTTAACTTTTGATTTTGATCTAACAAAACTCATATTGGTTACTTTTGATTGCAATGAGCGTAGCAACAATACAATGTATTCCAATAGTTCCGTGGCATTGTTTTAGCTATACGTACGCCTTGCAACTTTTGCTACTTTTTCTTGCAACTTTTTGCAACTTTTGCTATTTTCAAATGCAACTTTCTCTGAGGACAGATTTTTTAGACTTCCGGAGCATAAAAGGTTTTTAAAGGCTTTGGGTGCCTCTTATGTTTATTAATTCACACATGGGTTGGGGATATATAAATAGACTCGCTGTCCCTGGGATCCATGAGCAACATCTTCTTTGGTGCATTTTCCTATTCTCCATCCTTCTTTCTCCTTCCCCTTCTTCTATCATTTCTTCCACCGCTTACCCCGTGTGCAGCAAAACTAGAGGTCGTCCATCCCACAGAATGGGCGCCTCGTTGACCGTGGGGTGCGACCTGTGGAAACCGGGTAACTGGCAGTTGAAGTGAGATCAGTCTGCGGACTGTCCCTCGCCAACACACCTCTTTGACCCACTTTTTCCTCCCACGGGAGGGTGGGGCGGCCTATGCCACTCAATCGATTTGGAGCTGAAGCCCCTCCAGTTTTTCCTTGGGTCAATCTTGATGGGACGATCTAGTACATTTTCGTGGAGAGTATA